GGTCATATAGATAATTTACTTAAAAGAGAAAGTAATTTTAGACTTCATGTAGGCCAGCTCACTCATTTTAGAATTGAGGAAACTAGAGGTCAAAGAGTTTAAGTGACTATGGAGGCTTGGATCCAGGGCAGCCTTAGCAAAAATGTAACACTTGTAACATTTTATGTTACCATTTTTCTTCCTTTCTTTATCTTTATCTTTAACTGCTTCTTATTGGCACTTGGACTTTCTAGAGAGCAGTTCTGTATTCAGTTCCCAGTTGAATTGTTCTCAGACATGATAATTATTAGTTGCTGCTTTGTTTGTTGGAATACCACCTATCATATACCACATATCATAAGCAACATGACGGTATTGAATATCTGGGGCCAAGTGTCAAGGAAATGGCACCAGAGATGAGTTGTATCTTCTTCGCAGTGTTTACTTAAGGTTTGTCCTGCTTAAATTCATTCTTTTCCTCTAGTCAGTCACAGAATAAGCACAATTTTTGGTGGGAGGTTTTGCTCCTTCTCCCTTTTCAGAGCTGAAAGAGGTTACTTTGTCAATGAGGTACCATTTCCTTGAAGCTTTACAATCTAAAATGTGGCTGTTAAAAGAAGAGCACATAGCTCCAATTGTAAATGAACTGTATTAAAGGAATGTTAATCTTTATTTAACTTCCCTAAGTTCTACACTTCCAGCTCTGCAAACTGTCATAACCTCCCTGTTTCAGATTAAGTGGATTATTTACTTGTGATAATAGGCACATAGACTCATTAACATGCTGTCATAAACAGCTGTGTAGAAATATATTGTGTATTCTGTAACATAAATAAGGTGCCCAACCCAAAGTTGTGGTCTTAAAAAATGTGTCCCAGGGAGAACAAAAAAGCAATAAATGCTTTTTAATGCAGACACATAATCTTATATCATAAGTTTCTGTCTTATTAATACGAATTTCATGGAAGTTGTGGATGCTTGTCCTGCAAATTACCCTGATATGGGAGGAATTCAGAGCTTAATTTTTCTGCATTTTTTCAACTGGCACAGTCTGAACTTAATGTCCATTACGTTGGGTTCTCTTCTATGATAAACTAGGAGACCATATGGACAAGGAGCAAACAATAGATATAATCTACCTGGATTTCATTAGAGCTTTAGAATATGCTCCATTTACCGGTCTTATCCACAAACTAGTAATCATGGATTCTTAGAGCTGGAAGGGAGCTTAGTGTCATCTAGTTATCAAATACCTTCAAGTTACAAAGGAGGAAAGTAAGGCCCAGGTGATCTTGCACAGCTTACTCAAAGACACATTGTCAGGGCTATTAATAAAGCCAGGTTTTCTTTCTATAAAGAAGCTGTGGTGGAGATTATCCTGTAACTAGATGGAACAGGCCTAAATAATACTTACCAATTCCAATTGTAGAGTACTAGTATACACAATAGTAAGTACTGCTGGTCTAGTTTATTTAATAGCTTTACCAATTATTTCAATGAGGGAAATTAAAAAGAAACTGTCTAGGTTTGCATCTACTCTCAGTTTTTATTAGGTTACAGGTACGTTGTTGGATGGGAAAACATGACATGTGGTCTAGCTAGGTAAAAAATAGTAGTCCACAATACATCATAAAGTCCAGAGGGAAAAAGTGCAGTTGTCAACAGAAGGGACAAAAACAATAGACTAAAAATATACACAGTGGGAAGAGGATGGCTTGTCAGGGAACACTGAACTCAGAATGGATCCCAAAATGGATTGACCATGATGTACTATTTTTTTTCTTTCTAATCTGAAGTGGAACTAAAAAAGACTAATAACTTTGATAAATTTCAATCAATCACATATTAGCTGCAGAGAGCTGTGTTGGGTGCTTAAGAAAATAGTCCCTGACCTCATGTAGTTTGTATTCTACTAAGGGAACATGGCACATTAAAATTGTAATACATTATGCATATATAACAAATTCTTTAAAATGTGCAAAAATGCTGTGTGTGTGTGTGTGTGGTAGGAGCAGGGTAATGGCATCACTAATTAGTAAGGAGGAATACAGAGACATTAGAAAAAATGATATCTTAATGGGATTTTAAAGGATGGCTTAAAATTCAAAAAGCAGATGTGTATGGGAAGATAGGTTAGGGCAGGGGTGGGGATGTGGCCTCTAGGTCCTCAAGTACAACCCTTTGAATCCAAACTTCACAGAACAAATCCCCTTAATAAAAGGATTTGTTCTGTAAAACTTGGACTCAGTCAAAAGGCCATACTCCAAGGACCTAAAAGGCCACATGTGGCCTCAAGGTCCCAGGTTCCCCACCCCTGCTCTAGGACAAAGGAAAATGTAAAGAAAAAAAGTCACAAAGGCAAGGAATTTCAGAATATATAGGTGACATTTTGGAATTGTTCATTTAGTCTATGATCTAGAACAATGTTGTCAAACTCAAATAGAAATCAGTCCTGCAGGCTACATATTTACTTGGAAATTCACAAATGAAATGTATCTAAGTTCTACTGTATTTTATTTTGTTGAACAGTTCTCAATTACCTTTTAATCTTAATCTGGTTCAAGCCCTAATAAAGAGCAAGGTCTGTGGATCTCACTTTTGACACCTTTGATCTAGAGTATGGAGTCCTGCTTATTATGAGTTAAAGCTGAAAGGTAGGAAGCACCAGTAGAAGTCTCCAAAGGCCAGGCAAAGGAACTTTGAATTTAATTTATAGCCAATAGGGAGGCACAGAAGATTTTTGAGTAGGTAATTAATAAGACCAGTTATATGCAAAAAGGACATTAACCTGGCAACAACACCACCTTTTATATACTGAACAGCTCTAGGGGGAGGTACAACAGTAAAAGTACGTGTGTGGGAGTGTGGAGGGCATGTGTCTCAGCCCACGTATAGCTAAGTATCTATAAAAGTGCAATGTTTGCAGAAATAGCTATAATACAAAATAGATTCTCATGTTTAGGAGAAATATAAACAAAATCTAATATAAAGTTAAGTCAGCAGAGAGAAAAAATATTTCTGATTGAGGGGATCAGGGAAGTTTTCTGGAGTAGTTGTCATCAGACCCAAGTCTTGAAAAATGGGTAGGCTTTCAATGGATGAAGGTTACTCCAGGGATTATATGAAAGTAGAATAGCAAGTAAAGGCAAGGGGACAACAAAGTACATGGAGATCTTCAAGTGGCACAATTTTACCTGAGTACAGAATATAGAGAGTTGAGTAGTAGTAGTTTTATTTTTTATTTGTTTGTTTTTGTTTTTTGTTTGTTTTTTGGACTGAAGAGGGAGTTTGGACCTCATTAGGACTTCACTAGTACATACATAGCATCTGACTTTAATCTTGGTATTTTAAATTTGATGATGGCAAAATAAAAAGGAACCAGAGAACCAGTAGTGAGATTTTAGTTACAGAAAAAAAAAAAGAAAGGCTAATGAAATTGAAGTTAGTTACCTTGGAGATAAAACAGCTATAGGGTAACTTAATGGTTATCTTCAAGAAAATGAAGGGTATTGCAAGAAAAAAGCTTATCTATTCTTTAGTCCTATACAGGAGAGATAGCAAGAAAATTAAGTTGGACTATGCGGTTGACTCTGTGTGTGTATGTCTGTGTGTCTGTGTGTGTGTGTGTGTGTATTTAAAGGAAGGACACCAAAAGAGTCTATAACCATTGTAGATATTCTGTCCCCAAAACAAAAACAAAACAAAACATTTAGGATGAGGATTGGAAGTGATTTGTCTTCAATAGTTAATAAATATTTCTGTATGAGACAAGGTAATGAACCAAATGATCTCTTGATATCCCTTCCATGTAATCAGACCTGCTAAAAAACAAAACAAAGCAAAACAAAACAAAACAAAGAAAACAATATATGTTCTACTAACCTTGGAAAGCATATTATATTTTTTACTAATTGATCTGTTCCCTTAGCTCTCCAGAACATATATATCATATTCCTTCATTTGAATTCTTATTTTTTTTTAGTTTATGGGAAAAAGTAAACAAACTGTAATGCTTTGGGTTTGAAGCCTAATTAATGCCATAAAAAAGTGGAAAATTAAGACAATTTAACCTAGTGGGCTTGATGGCTTCAGGTAATAGCTTTACTGTCCCCTTTTTCTGATGTCTCATCAGTTTGAAATACACAATTTATATTTGTCTGGATGTTAACTGGGATCAGAATTGACCTCCTTTTATATAAAACATTGCATCTGAGTAAGTGTTCTTTCTTATACTGTTGATGGATCTTTTGGGGGAAATTAAATAGGTGTTTTAGATTGGAGTTGAAGAATACCTCCAAAAATCTCATACAATAATAACTATAGTTTCATCTTGGCATACTGCAAAGAGCATTGGACTTTAAATCTAAAGATTGGATTTCAAATATTAGCTCAAACACCTAAGTTAAAAAAAATAGAGCTGGAAGGAGCCCCAGACTTTCAGATATCTAGTCTGGCTCTTTCATTTTTTTAGATAAACAAGTGAGGTCTTATAGACTTATTCAAAGTGACAGAGGCAGTAAGGGTATAGAGCCATCAAATAGCAAATCCTTCAAACTTAGGTATATCACTTAACCTCTCTGAGCCTCAGTTTCCTCATCTGTTAAATGAGAATAATACCTGAACTACTCAGATTTTTGTGAAAAAATTGCAAACCATAAAGATCTGTAGAACTGTTACATATATAACAGCATTTTTCTTGATCAATTTTTGGTTTATTGGATAATATAGGAATGTAGGTATGCTGAGGCTTGTTTGAATACTTGACTTTCTGTATTCTTTTTTATATTTTTCAAATATTTTATTTGATTCACCAACATCAATCATGGACATATTTTCTCTTTGATTGTAAGAACATTTCTTAAAAAAAAAATACGTTATTTGGGGACATATTGAAAATTAGCCATCGTGACAAATGAGATACATTATGAAGATCCAAAGAATACCAAACGTAGGTTTAGCTACTTCAAATGTTTTCTAATATCTGAATTAATAAAGTTATTTCCCTCTTCTTCCCGTTCTAGGTTCCCAGATTAAGAGTTTTACATCCCTCCGGTTCCTGTCAGAGCCTTCTGATGCTGTCACCATGCGGGGAGGTAATGTGCTTCTGAACTGCTCCGCAGAGTCTGACAGAGGAGCTCCAGTTATCAAGTGGAAGAAGGATGGTGCCCACTTAGCCCTAGCAATGGATGAACGGAAACAGCAACTGCCGAATGGCTCCCTGTTAATACAAAATATAGTCCACTCCAGGCACCATAAACCAGATGAAGGTCTATACCAGTGTGAAGCATCACTAGGAGATTATGGGGCAATTGTCAGTCGAACAGCTAAAGTTTCAGTGGCAGGTAGGTGACTGGCTTCTTTCTTTGCTTTTGGAGGTCCAAGAAGACATTTCTCAGAACAATTGGTAGTTTTTTTACTACGTGGGGGAAAATAAAGAAATACATGTTTGGCCTGTACCATTCATTATGTTTCTTCTCAAATAGAATCTGACAGTGAAAGAAAGGTTTAAAAACATGTATTTTGTTTTGTAGCCCAGCTTTGTAAATGTTGAGTTTTTGAAGATGGACTAGCTTTTGGCCTAAGGGCATTGAATCTTATTTTAATGATAATAGTGGTAATGGAGGTGTCTACAGAAATCTCAATCTACAAATAAATGGCAGAGATTTCTAGAGTTTGAAGGATGCTTCCAAATACTTTAATGATGGGCAACATTTTAACTAAAGATCTTGGTGACAGGATGATTTCTTTCTTTTTTTTTTCTTCTGGTATGGAAGCTTTGCAGTAACATAGACACATCCAAAACACATTAAAATTCCTGGAATCTGCACTATTTCTGTCACACCTTTTCTTGTTAGAGGGTAGCTCATAATTATCTCTATTGGGCACTGCAGTGTCAGGCCAACAAGAAGATGAATCAGACTTTGGCCTGTGTTTCTGTAATGAAATTGTATTCACCTGAAGTTAGACTTTAATTTTTGTCTGGTATGAAAAAGAGGCATTAACTGGGCAAACATAGGAATAAAATGATTGAATTGACTTCAGGAATGTAAGTGGCTATCTTCGACTAACGTTATATTTTAGCTGTCATTATGCAAGCTGGCCCATTTGCGATAGGATAATAACATTACATATGGTTGCTTTAAATTTGGTTTATCTCCAATAGCTTACCCAGTAACACCTCCTAGAGGACAGTTGGGAATTAAAATCCTTAACTTCAGAAACCAGGCCAGATCCAGGCTTCTAACTACCAAATATTGCTTTGGTAGTATGTTTCTTCTTTTTACTTCACTGTCTCCCACATTTAGACCCTCTGAAAGAGGCAGCCTGAAAATAGGACACTCTGGAACACAATTGGTGGAGAGGAAATGGTGGTTCTATTATCTAATACTAAAAGCAACAATAACAACACTAACAATAACAACAATATATTGAAATAAATCATCATCTCAATGGCATTTATATAGTTCCTTGATGTTTTCTAACTGCTTTATGTATGTTATCTTTTTTTTTTATGTACACAGTGGAGTTGTGAGCTAAATGCCATTATTATCATCATTTTATGTATGAATAGAGACTGAGAAATGTTCAGTGACCTCCCTGGAGTCACTGAAATAGATTTAAAATCAGGTCTTCTTGACTTTAAGTCTAGTGTTCTATATCCTATACCACCAAGGTAACTAGAATAATCAAATAAGTCACCTTCTGGCACTAGGAGGAAAAGTGAATGGGATTATGTGTGATCCCCTCACCCTGACACTTATCTAAGCTAGCATATGACCCTATTTCCACTTTTTCTTTTCAGATGCGGCCTACCTGTTCTTTTTAATATAATTTCATTTGTATACAAATGCTACCCAGCCAATTCTACAGCCTCCTTACATTAGACTCACCTGGATTGTTAATAGTAAAGAATAGAGAGGACACAACATATGTTTAAAGGACATGTTTAGGGATCAGTAAGAATGAAAGGCGAGACTCTAGTTCAGCTGATTTCTCTGAGTGATGGATGTCTTCCTCCTGACTGATGAGCAGAAAGTGTAGGAAGGACTGAAAGTTAATATTAATGATGACCTATCCAAGTGATATGCACAAGGAGCTACCCAGGAATGCCCAGAAGGAGGTCAGGAATATTGCAATTACAGCCCTCCACTCGCACTTCATCCAGTTTCCTGGTCTCTTACATCTCTCTGATCAGTTATCCATGATGTCTGAATATCTCTGCTGAACCGCATAAATTTGGGCATCTGTTTAATGCCAGCATCAAAAAGCAAATCAGGATCTTATATCACATAAGAATGTCCTGATGTGGGTTTGATATGGTTTCATGCTTACTGCAATTGAGATTCAGTTTTTTTATGGGCCTCTCTTTCAAACAGGAAAATGAGGAAAGATTGCATTCCTGCAAGATTTTAAAATAAAGAGTCTTGGGCTATAGTATTCTATGCAAAGGGAGGGCAAAGTATTCAGCCACTGAGTTACAATCTCATCTTAGATTATATCATTTGGAGGCAATAGGGCTGTTCACAGCAGTTTAGATACTCACTATGTTGTTTGGCAACACAGCATTCATCAATGTTATATCTGCAGAGGTTAAGACTGTCAAACTACTGGAATGCAGGAGGAATGGGTGGTGGTGGCATAGATCTTCCTTACAAAAACTATGGGTCTAATTTAATCCCAATTTTAAGATATTAGCAGTTAATAAACCAGTCACCACAAATAGTTAACAGCCAGATTTGCTCTGGACAAACTGCCCCAAGGTCTGAAAATTGCACAATAACCTTTTAAAGTCTGTTTTTAAAGTCTCATTAAAGACTATTTTCCACTTGTACTTTCTATTTTTTTTAATCAAATAAATGTGGCAAATAAAATCTGTCCTTAATCAGTCAACATATTTTATGCAGAGAACTTGCCATGTACTCTTCATACAATTTTCTAGGAACTTCTGAAGAGCTCTTCAGAATATGACATTCAGTATGTGCAAAAGTGCACTTGGCTGAAGTGGGAAAGAGAACAGAGAAGATAACCACAGAGCTGCCTCCTAGTCTAACATTTTATTCAAAGATCCAATTTAACAGGTTACCTACTATTAGGATTCCACTTAATTGGATGGTGTACCAACATAGACAGCATGAGCTTTCAAATCTCCTATCACATGAATCATAACCAATGTAACCCACAATTTGGGACCATTATATAAAACTAAAGAGGTCTGATTAAAATGGCACAATGGGACAGGCAGTATGATTCAGAGAACAACAACAACAGAAAACTAAAGTTCTCTGTTTTACCCTTAGCTTGGGTCACTCTAATTACTTGGGGTCACCATACATCAAGTTATGGTTGTAGTAATTTAACACTTTTTTTTTCCTGTTGGGAATTGATTGGACTTGTTTATCATATGTATGAGTACACAGCTGTGTGTGAATTTCTCTCTCTCTCTCTCTCTGTCTTGTCAAAAAGTTGGAATAGTCCTTATGCTCTGATGTGATATAAAATAAGATGACTAAAATATAGGAAATTTGGCTTTGGAAGATCTGAAGAAGGCATTTGCCATTTTCTTCAAATTTTCCACGGCCCCAACCTCTGAATTTCTTTAGCATTTCATTGGAGTTGAATTGATTAAAAATGCCTTGAATCTGACTGTGGAAATATCTCCTTATCTGGAAAGTGGTTTGTTGTCTGGCTGGGTTCATGGCAACTAAGAAACAATCTAAGAAGCAAAATAAACATGGCAGGATCCTTCCTCATAGAAGAAATGTTACTTTTTATTGATGCTTTCATGGTGTGGTATAAGAAATTTTCAGGAAATATGTCAGTATATAACGGGTTATAAAGCAAATTGTATTTGAAATTCTGCATTGGATGTTTACAAATGCCATGTTACCTTCCTGAATTGAGTGGTTTAAAAATGGGCTTAGCAAAACAATGCTTTCTGTGTATTGCTGGATGATGCTGAATAACTGATATGGCTGATTTTTTTTTAAGTTTTCACCAGTTAATTTGCATGACACAGACAGAATCTATTGATTTTGCTTTTGGCTTTCCACAAACTACTGAATTCAACCTCTGATAGGCTGGACCAAGTGTTGAATGTTATGGGGTTAATGCTGCTAATTTTTTTTTTTATGTCTAACCCTCAACATCATTTACTGTCACATAAAGAATACAGGACATTCTTGATATAGCAAGGTTAAAAGAAGACAAAAGTATCCAGTAATATCTTGACAGCTTAATACTGTGAAATTGCCTGAGTATTTCCACATTGAGATAGGTAGGGCAGGTATTATTTCTATCTGACAGATAAGAAAACTTATGAATTATATGAAGGAAGTACACTGCTGAAATAAGAAATCACAATGTCTGATTTATAATTACAGTTTCCATTTACATGGCATAGAGACAATATTATAGAAGTTCAAGTCTGTTTTTTAATAAGTAAAATGGATAGAATTCAATTTACCAATTCTTTGTTCTATACAATGATGTTTACAAAATATGAATGAAGGAGAAAAAATATCATCATTATAATATTACAGATACAAACCCTAAAATGTCTTTGAGAACTCAACAAATAACTTATACTGGAATAATAGTTATATAACAGAATAACAGACAGATACTATATATCTATATTGCCTACAATTATCCATATATAATGTTCACTTTCAAAATTTAAGAAAAAAATTTTAATGCATGTAACAGTACCAAATATTTAGAATCATGAAACTACATGGAATTGGAAAAAAAATTTTCAAAATATTGAGACCTAGAAGAAGAAATACATGTAGTAATAAGGTAAGGCACATATTTCTGTAATCTTGCCTGTTACTGGAATTATTCAAACATATTTTCAATAAACCTACAGAAGATGAACTTACTTCTCAATACTTTCATTCAGTTACTGAGACAAAATGCAATGTTTTTATCCACTTATATACTCTTTTAATGCATAGCAAATATAAAAGAATGTTCACAGGCTTGTGCTGAACTCTTTGTATCTGTGCTCTCTCCCAAAAAGTTAAGAATGAAACAGGATGATGATGAAGATGAGGATAATATTTGTTTGTACCATTTGACATTTAAACCAGTTCTAGTGATATAGACATAGGTATCATATGGGGCCTGTCCTTAAGAAACTTAGAAAGGTGCAGAAGAAATAACATTGGGTTTTGAGTTAGGGAACCAATGTTTTGGGCCCTAGATATTCTAATTACTATTGGTGTGATTCTGGACCACTCAGTGTAAACTGAAGAGATGGGGTGTTAGTGAATTTCAAACTCAGTATGGGTCAGGAATGTGATGGACAGTCAACAAAACTAAGTGAGACTTAGGCTACATT